ATCTTTGACAAAATACCAACCACTCTATCAACCAAAATTCTTGATAACAACTTGTTAAAGAAGTTACATAGGTTAATTGGCCTAAATTTAGAGAAATTCTGAGGATTCGAAACCTTAGGGATCAATACAATCGAGGTAGAAGTAACGAGTCGAGGCAACTCTGCCCCATAGAAAAAACTTAATACCGCATTATAAACATCCTGAGCCATAACATCCCACACAAAGGTAAAAAATTTACCTGTAAAACCATCCGGACCAACTGCACTATCCCTATCCATGGACATCACCACTCGATGAACCTTCTCCATGGAAGGGACAGCCTTTAGAAGCCTTTTATCCTCCCCCAAAATCATAGGAGGAATAAGGTACAACATATTTGAAGCAGACTCCAAAGGTCCCGAAAAAAGGTCTGAGCACCTAAACACCATTGGAATTTTTTATTCTATGTATCATTCCTTGAACCCTCTTTTGTCTCACTATCGCATGAAAAAACTTGGAATTACGATCTCTACTTCGAAGCCATTTTACTCGAGGCTTTGGACTCCAAAATTGCTCTTCAATGGTCAATGCATGACACAACTTCGCTTGAGCCTTCTTGAGCTCAACTTGAGCTTCCTCCAAATCATCATGCTCCACAGCCTTCTCTGCCCTTTGAACCACTGTCACGCCCCATTTTTAATAAAATTTACGATTACGGGTTTATAAAAAATGAATTTTTGATTTATTTTGTTGAGTGAAATGAGTTTTTGATGTTTAGAAATAAATAAAGAAGATGGGCCTAAATGGGACTAAAAAGTGCGACGATTTTGACCCAAAATAATAGTTAAAAAAGGGTTTTTAATTAAAAATAGGAGTCACCACTTGATATTGAGTTAAGGTACACCAAGTCACCTAAAAATTAATTTTAAACAAAGAGGTAGAGAAAACCCTTTTTAAATGACTCCAAATCTTCGAAAATCAGAGAAAAGGGGTCAAGAGTCACATTTGAAGAAAGGGAAGGCAACGATAAAATCCAAAACACCCTTTCAACCTAACCAATGCTAGTTGCGTGATTTAGTCAAAATTTTTCTTATTTTAATTTAAGAATTTATCACATTTGGATGTCACTATATGGATGCAAAACCTAAACTTAGGAGGATATTGGGGGGATCGGAATATCTTTTAAAACTTAATTGATGCAAATCACATTATTTGTGATGTCCAATAGTGACTTTTTGAAGAGGTCACGAATATGCAAAAATATAGGACTCGAAGAAAAGAAAAGAAAATCCCTCAAGTATAATAAAAAGAGAGTGGTGGTCACTGTAGCATCTCTCTTTTTGACAAGTGGCTTGCTACTTGTTTGACACTTGGCTGGATTTTTTTTTTTATTGAGGGCAACAATGAAACAAAGCATATAAGAAAGCAACGGATGCAATAGAACCAATGGGACCATTTCCATTTCATTTCAGACACTTCAGTTGAACATGGATTTTTTTACTTGAGGGCAACAATGGAACAAAGCATATAAGAAAGCAACGGATGTAATAGAACCAATGGGACCCATTTCCATTTCATTTCAGACACTTCAGCTGAACACTTTAGACAACCGACCCATTTCATTTCAAACACTTCAGACGAACACTTCAGACAAGAAACCAGCAGTTCTTCTTTTCTTCTTCTTCGAGTGAGAGTACCAGCAAAGTACTCTTCCCTTCGTGTAGCAGAGATGGCTCCTTCACATGCTTATTGTACTTGAAAGCATGGAAGGCCTGAAATGCCTCAGAGATTAGGTGTCTTCTTTTTCCCCAAAATTCAGGGATTTTTCCCCACAAAAGTGGCCAGCCGTTTGATTTGTTTCATTTGTACTGGAATTGATTTTGCAGCCATCCAATTTTTCCATGAACTCCGTAATTCTAAATCATATTTTCAGGGATTTAACGTGATAGACATTAAGTGAGTAGTAATTTAGGTTTTTAGGTTTTGAAAAGGAAAAGAAAGGGAAGTGCCCATATAAAGGGTGTATTTCTTTCTGTGAAGACCTTGCGTTTGGAAGGGAGCTTCTTCTGCCTCTAACTTTGGTAAGGGTCCTTTTCATTTGTAATACTTCAAACGGTTTTTTGTGCTCCCGTAATTCGATCTGTAATTCAATCTAATACTTCACTTGATCAAGTTTTTTCTTCTTTTCTTTTTCCTATTTAATTTGCATTGCTTGCATTCTTTTTTGTTCCTTTTGCAGTTGTGTTTGGGTTAGCTGTTTAATTAGCTTTTTTATTTTTCATTTTCGGCCAATTTAGAAGCTTAGATATCTTGATTATCGGTTTTGTTTAGATAAACTTCACTTCTTGCCATTGACATCAACCTCTTGACTTTATTTAAGACATTGGAATCGATACTTTTATTTTTTTTCTGAAAAAAAAGATGTTGCTTTTTCAATATTTTTGTTGAAAAATTTTCGTTCCCTTTCAAGAATTTTTTTGTAAATCAAATTTTGGTAGGTTATGGTCCAAAAACTACATATATCATGAATCAAAAATACTACTACAAAAACTACAGTCACTTAAGATTATGATCCATGAAGAACCTGTATACTTAATTATTTTCCATTGCACTTTTTCTTTGGCCTCTCCTTAAAAAACAGATTTATTAGTCTGCTTATTAATTAAATAAACATCCATGTAGAAGCCATGTATTATAGCAACCTAGGAAACAACTGCAACTTCAGCCATATACAGGGATATAGGAGACCATGGCCATGTTGACTTCCTATCAACAATAAAGACTAAAATTGTCACTAAGAATATGTTAAAGGTTCATAAATGCCCTGACCTCAGAGTCTCTAAATCTGCAAACTATCACTTCTACCACAGATAGACATGTCTTCATAACTTTATAGGATCAAGTTTTTTTTTCTGGTTTTCACCATTATATAACAATATTAGTAAACAGCTTATCTAGACAATGTTTTAGGCTCAGATCATTTGACTATGTTTTCACTAGCAATAAAACTTAACAGAATAGTAAACGGATCAATAATGAGAGTTATAAGACCATTATTTATTAATTTGGTTGATATTCTTCTCACAATGTACTTACTTTACTTGAAAACATATTTTTATACTTCTAGATCATAACTAAACAATAATTTTTATGGAGTTATGAAAATGGTGTCTAGCACTGCTACTATAATTCTTCAATTTTCTTTTTCATTGTGAATCTTTATTCTTCCTTTTCTTATACTGATTTTGCTTTTTTTTTTGTCCATGCTTATAAAATGTCGAATATCTTAGTTTTGATGAAACTTTAAATCCAAATCATCAGAGACAGTATGAGGATTTTTGGAATTCTCTTTCCGCAAGTGGACTTCCACCTCATAGGCTGATCTTGAAGGTTAATGCACCAATAATCTTGTTTAGAAATTTAGATCCCACTGAAGGCCTTTGTAATGGGACAAGATTAATATGCAGGAATTTGAGCCGAAATGTTATTCATGCTCAAATAGTTGTAGGTGATTTTGCTGGAAAAGATGTTTTCATCCATAGAATTCCATTAGAACCTGCCACTGATGAGCAATACCCTATCCCATATAAGAGAACCCAGTTTCCAATCCATTTGTGCTTTGCAATGACAATTAACAAAGCTCAAGGACAAACATTAGATTTTGTAGGTATTTATTTAAAGAACCTGTGTTCTCTCATGGCCAGCTTTATGTGGCGTTATCACGTACAAGAACAGCTTCACAAGTCAAGTTACTCATTAGACCTCCATTTTTTGATAAATCTAGAATAAATCAGACAAAAAATATTGTATATAGAGAAGTTCTTGAAGCTTCTCAATTAGCTGTCAAGTAAATGAACATTCTTTTGCTATTTCTTCAATTTTTAATTAATCCTATCATAATTGTAGTCTATATTTAAAATTAAATTCATCTGTTTGTACCATTTATAGATAAGCATGGCAAGACGCTACCTTCCAGTGAATGAGGTCGTTGAGGGAGTAAAAGAATGGACAGTACTGGCTCAGGTTGTTGAGAGAGGACATGTTCAGTTGAGTCGAGGAGCAAGGCCTGTGAACTACCGCTGCTTCCTCCTTACAGATTCTAAGGTAACCAAAAAAATAAAGATATTCCTTTAATTTTTGTATATATCTTTGGCTATTTTACAAATTTATAGCTATTTGTCTTTATGATGCAATAGGGAACAAAGGTTTCAGCAGTCATCTATGGCAACGGTATCCATTTTTTTGTTGGCATGCTAATGCCATTTAGGAGATACTATATCTCCAGTGCAGCTCTTCAAAAAGCAGAACCAAGGTATAAGGTCAGTGACTACCCATATTCTTGGGTAATCCATAACAGAACGTTGGTTGAGTAGTATGTGGAGCAGGTTCCGCCGGTTATTCCATGTCACTTTGAGCTCACAGCATTTGAAAACTTATTCAAATTTGCTGACACAGAAAATTTGCAAAGTAAGTTCATGCTTTATCTTAGATAATCCTAATGTATTCCTCATGTTATCTTCAGCTTATCTTTAGATTGAAATATTCTTTTCAATAATAGATATCCAGGGTATTGTCATGCATGCTTTTCCTTTAAGGGAACAGGGTCTTGATTCAACGACAAGAGACTTGGTTGTTATTAATCAAGAGTAAGCCAACTGGAACAAAAGAATATACTTTCAATTTACTAAATAAATTTATTACATTCTTTAATTTTTATCATATTTATTGCATTTTAGAAAAAGGCCAATGCTCCTTATTCTATGGAACGAATTTGAAGCAAATGAAGGAGCACAGCTGGCAAACACTATCGCAAACAACATCATCATAGCTATGAGAGTCAAAGTAACTACTTTTAATTGTAAGTTACAGCTCGCATTGCTCAATAAATTATTACTCCTTTGCCTACCATATTTCAACTTTAATGAGCTAAGTAAATACTATTTTGTTAGATCTATCTCTAACAACAAGGCTTGCAAGTTGTCTGCTGATGAATCCATCAACTTCTGAAGCCACTGTATTAAGGCAATGGTAAGCATATCATGTTTTATAATTATACATAAGAACTGAAAAATATAACATGTCATATTTATGTTCACAGGTATGATCAGAATCGGCAGCAAATTGCACAACTAATTGAGGAGGGCAGTTACAAAGACTCAACCAAATTGCTGCCTCCGCCCAAAAATAATGATATCATTAGTGTTGAGAACGCTGTGAGCATGCTAAAAAATGTAAATACGGTCATATCACCAACTGACTTATACTATTTTCTTACCTTTTACATTAGTGAAAAATGAATTACTTAACTTTGCATCTAATACAATATAAACTATAGGTCAAGACTGCCTGGATACGAGAAAATACTTCTTTGGCAGCTGAACAGCGATCTTTCTGGTATGCTGCATATAGTAACTGTCAAAAGGTTGTAGATTCTAATTTGGAATGGATCATCAAATGTCCATCTTGCAGAGAAGAAAGTGCCGTTGAAGCCAAGTAAACAAGGCATGCAATTTTACAATTGTGCTCTTAACAATAATTCTGTTTTATTTCATTGTTTAACCATTATTCACTGCTATCATATACCAGATGCCGTATTGGAATTATCATTGATGATGGAACAAGTTCAATATATGCAATAGTGTTTGGTACAGATACTGAAAAACTCATACCATTCACAACAGTACAACTAAGTGAAACTGATGAACATGTAAGATGCTGAAAAACTCATACCATTGACATGCAATATCTCTATTTTCTTTTGTCTATGGTTGCATTGATTGGCTTGCAAATCTGGTAATGTCCCTCTGGTTATTTTGCTATTCTTTCCAAGGAAAGGACTCAATCGCAGTCAACAAACAAAATTCCTAACTGGAACTAGCTAAAAGTTTCTTTTAGCCAGCATTAAGATTGCAACAATCTTTTAATTATCTGGTATAACTGAATTCTTAAGTAGCATGTTGAATTTTAGCAAAGAAAAATGAGTTTTAGTTGAGGAAAATTCTATTTAATAACTGATTAGCTATTGGAAAAAAAAAACAGTAGGAACCGACAGAGAAAGCTGAAGCTGCAGCTTGTTATCAATGTTTCTTTGGAAAATAATATTAGCAAATGCATGCAATATGTTTATCTCAAGTGTTATATGATGTTTGGCTGAAAACTTGTGAAAAATTGGAAATTTGGGCTAGAATGTTAAAGGAAAGTCGCTGGAACTTCCCAAATCATGTTGTCTTCAATCTATGTTACTATTAAGCTTTCTTCTGAAATTGCATCATGTTTACATTTTCTGGCAGTCTATAAAATTTCTGAAAATATAGGGTATTGAGCTTTTTTTTTGTTTATTTGCAAAATATAGGCTGTTGAGATTTTTTCTAAAATTGCATCCGCAATTGATAACTGTGAAGTCCTATGCTTTGTCTGCCATTTTGACTCGAATTATCAAAGGCAGAAAGATGACAACTATAGCATTCTCAAAATATGCACTGCTGAAGAATTAGCTGAAATCAACCTGGCAATCACGCGCACAGTTGTCTCTAATCCTGTGGAAGAACTTGTTCCAACTGCTCCAACCATAACTAAGAAGCCGACCAACACTATTGAACAGGTTGACTTAACTGCTCGCTCCACTTTCACTGACCAACTTGCCACTGAATGGCAATTCTTCAGCCCAACAACAAAAATGATCCTAGATTCAATTAGGCGCAAGTCTGATAATGCAGATAAGCCAGTCTCTTCAAACATTGTTGCAAAAAGAAACTTAACTTTTGAAACTACACCTTCTGCTGAGAAGACAACCATTGAAGCCGTTCCTTCAATTGCTGGAAAAAATGGTCCTGAAGACAAGAAGCCTGCATCTTCAAAATCTGCTCATATGAGCCCTCTCAAGAAGCAACATGAATCTGCAAAATGAAGCAGTCACACAACTTCATTTCCTCTTTTGTTCATCCTTTTGTTCATCATGGATGCTACTGAACTTTTAGCATGCTATCTTTTGGCATCATATTAGAATCTATTAACATTCTCACTATGACTAGAAGTTAATGAATCCTAATATATGATATTATGTAACTATTAGCATGCATTATGTATCTCTACTTCGAACTTAATTGTACTGGAAGATGTGCAACTGCTACTGAAATTGTTGACAGCTATCTATGAATGGTAATTATGATATTATGTACCTATTTTGCAACTAGAATTGTTATACATGCTTTTCCAATGATCAGGATTTTTAGGAGGGCCAAGACTGTGCCTTGCACAGCCTGATTCCTCTAGTAATAATTATACAAATATACATGACCTAAAAGAATGTATCATAACAGGTGTGGGGGGCTAAAATTCGTGAGTCAATTTTTTCTTTTATAGAGGGAATACAAGCATGCTAAGGCTAAGAAGTCATACTCGTCCATATTCCATATTTAAAGGATAGTTCACCTATCTAATCAAGCAAATGATCTAGCCTAATTTTAATGTGAAATGCAAGTTTATATGTCACATTTCACACATAAAGGTAAGGAATATACATATAGGGAAAATATGGGATAAGGAATATATATAAATATGGGAAATACGAGATAAGGGATACACATATAGGGGGAATATGGTATTAGGGATATACATATAAGGGAAATGTCATGCCAAACGAAAAAAACCCTAAAAAGTAGAAAATATACATGAAAATGTAGTGATTGTCACACAAATATGATCTAACGCGTGAATAGTCCCTAAAGGTCTAGCGTTGGACCATCCCATATCTATAAGTTCTCACTACCGCTGAACTAATGAAAAATTAGAAAGGAGGGTCACAATTAGCGTTGGACTAGTGTGGATCGGAAAAAGGGGTCACAACTAACGTTGGACTAGTGTGGATCGGAAAAAGGGACCACAACTAGTGTTGGACTAGTGTGGTGACGTCATGCATTTATTACAATTAAATAAATCATGTAAAACATAATAAAGCAAGTAAACACATAATATCACATAAAAAACATAGCACATAAGCATGATATCTAGATGCAAGATTCTAAGAAAGCGAGTAACATGTAATAACATAAGCATGCAAAATACACAAAGCAAATAAAGCAAATAAAAACCTAACTATTAGATTTGGGACCCTAACTACAATCTAAGGGGGAAGGAATAAAATAAATAATAAAATAAATACCTAACTATTACATATTCTATCTAAATACATGTCTTGAACCCCCCCTTAACTATTACAATTTGGCATTTTAAATGCCTCTTAAATAATCAAACATTAAATTAAAATAAATATACTAAATCAAAACACTTAAAGTGACTAAATAAATAAATGAAATAAAAACATCCAAAAGGCATGCAATTACGCACATAAAGTCACATAGGGGCACATAGGATCAAGTAGAATCAAAATAAAGAGTAGATAATACCTCCCTTGAATTGGTGACCTAATGAAATGAAATTTTTCTTATTTACCCTCCAAAACAAAGAAAAAGGTCAAGGCATCACTTTAAGTAACAAATAATCACAAGAAATGAAAACAAACACGAAATTGAATCAATCAAATCAATCAAATAAAAATAAACAACCCATATTCAACAAATTAAAACAAACAAGGACCTAATTGAAAGAATTAAAGAAGTTTGAGGGGTCAAATCATTATTATGACAAGTATTAAGGGTCTAAATTAAAAAAAATAAAATTAAGGACTTAAGATGAAGCATACCAAAACTAAATGCTAAAGTTCACAAAATAAATCAAAATCCTGTCATCCCAAAACAAAACATCACTCAAATCTAAACCATTTCTACAAAAATCCAAATAAAAAACTATAAATTTATGAAAAATTGTTAAACCTTTAAAATTCATCCTAAAATTTACAAATAATCTACTCAAAAATCATATTAAAACATGCCAAAAGCAATTAAGATTTTGAAGTGACAAAATTGATTATGTTTTTCCAAATTTAGGGTCATAGTAGAATAAAGGAAAACTTGAGAGGTTAAAAATGCAATAAAAATAAGGACATAATTGAAAGAATTATAGAAGTTTTAGGGTCAAATTATGATGTTCTAAAACTTCTGGGGTTAAATCACAAAGAAAGGGAAAATGGACGGACTGAAATTATAAATCTAGACAAATAATCATCTTTTTCAAACGAGCTAACATTAGTTACCATTTCAGCTTTCTTCGCAGACAGAGAAATACCAAAAATTCGATTTCAACTCAAGCCATTCCCAACAGACAATGAAACTCACACAAACTCCCTCTCATACAATGTCATAACATCAATTCGAGTTCATACAAAGGGAAGAATAATAAAAAGAAAAAAACAGAAAAGGTGCAAAGAACAAGCACGTCAAAGCCTCTCAAAACTCTGCTTTCTACCATGAATATCAGCTATTATGTCTTGGCATTGCTGACTATTCATTTTCTTCTCACGCAAAACGCAGACGAATCGTCTTTCAAATAGAACTCTTAGTTAAGCATTCTATCGAACAACAGATGGGCAAAAGAAAATTCACCGATTCTTTGCTTAATCGAAGTTATAACTAGCCCTAAAATTGTCAGAAACACAAGGGATTTCAATCCAATCAACACATAAAACATGTATATTCGAAACTGTGGATAATCATTAGGAAAATCGTAATAACCAATTCCTTGCTTTGAGAGCCTTAAGAGTCTGAGTTTGAAGAGAACATGAAATTTGAAGGAAAGGGATAGCTTACAGTACTCTCTCTCGGTGAAGGTTCCTGGTGATGGTGGGAAGTTCCGAAGCTGACAGCGAATCACAATTCCTCCGCCCAGCTTTTGCCTCTTTTCCTTGCTTTTTCCAGATTCTCTACCACCCCTTTTCTTGTTTCCTTCAACCTCTACCCTTTCTCCTCTCGGTTTTCCTTTTCCCTTTTCCTTCTTGCCCAAAAGCTCTTCCCCACCTCGGCTCTCTCTTTTTCCTTGCTTTCTTTTTCTCCCTCAGCCCTTCTGTTTTCTCTTCGTCCGCCGCTCCTACCTCTCTTGCTCTCTCTCTCTCTCTCTCTCGTATTTCCCCCGAAGAACTCTCCCCAGTTTTTCTTGCCCGTCGCCCCTTTCTTGCTTTTTTTTTCTTTTCCCCTTTTTCCTTCACTGCCAGCTCTCTCCTTTTCCATTTTCTTTTGTTTGTTTTTTTCATCAAATTTTCCTAGGCTCAACACTTGTCTTGCCACCTACCCCCCTTTACATGTGTTGTGCTAAAACCAAGACACTTGTCTAATATTCCTTTAACACACTTGTCCACCTATTCACATATTTTCCTATATTTTTAATTTAATTTAATTTTTTTAAAAAAATTTAATTCCTAATTGAAATTGCACTGCAAAATTTTCATTTATTTTAAAGAAATTGAATCTAAGAGGATTAAAAACAATTTTTTTGTATTTTTGTGAGAATTTTCCTTTTCAGAAATTTAATGCAAAAATATCTTAAATATAAAAATGATGAACCTAATTTATAAAAATTAGCAAAAATAAACACTAACCATCATTTAATCAATAAAATAAAATAAAATAAAACAAAAATAAAAAAATAAAGCTAAAATTGAATTAAATAACAAATAAAGCTAAAATTGAATTAAATAAAAAATAAAGCTAAAATTGAATTAAATAAATAAAAAAATAAAGTTAAAATTGAATTAAATAAATGAAATTTTGGTGTCTACAACCGCAGACTCTATCCCTCGAACACAGTCAAACACATTTCCAAAACATTGCTTGTTCCAGTCCTGAATAGCCCTCCTCATCACCAATAATTTAGAATACAAAACATGCGAAGGAGATCCACTCGCTTCTCGACTCCAGGCACTTCTAATCACCACCAAAAGTTCTGGTTTTGTCGTCCAGACATCCAAGAATAGAAATGGTCTTAGCTTATTATCTAACCGAGATGCAAACGAAATCTTCAATGGCACATGATCCGACAGATGTCTCGCCAAATGAACTACAGAAATCGATGCGCAAAAATCCGAACATTCCCCATTTATTAACAACCCGTCCAATCTCTTCGAAATTCTAGCTCTGCCTCTCCGATTGTTAAACCACGTGAAACTAACTCCCAAAAAACCTACATCAAAAACCTCAGTCTCTTCCACAAAGGACATAAACTCCACCCCTCAGCTATAGAAAACGGACGACCCCCCCCTCCTTTTTCATGAGGCGCCATTATGACATTAAGATCACCCCCAATGCACCATGGCAGGGAGCTAGGCTTATTAGCTAATAAGTTTTGCCATAAGTCTCTTCGCTCCTCCATTTAACATTTTGCATGAACAAATGACATAATGATTGAACCAGGCATCAATGGATATTGAACAGATAAAGAAATATGCTAGTCCGAATTACCAACAATCGAACATATAAAAATACTACTATAGAACACCCAAATATCACCCGAACTATTAACAACCACCAAATCAAACAATAATCATAACCGAATGGACTCAATTTTAGACACATCTAGCTTGGGGTCACATATCACAATGAATTTAACATGATACAACCTTACTAATTTAATCAATCTTCTTAGATTAGGGGCTTTAGCACCCCTTTAATATTTCAAAAAATGCCATTAATCATGAGATAAAACCTGGAAGGAGTTATGGGAAGATGTCACAGTTTGAAGCTGTCTATCAGAGGGAAATCGAGCTCGCACATCTTTTCCTCTCGCTTGCTTGAAACCTTGATCAACCGCAACAGATTGATCAATGTTCAAAGCCATCACCGGCGACTCCAGCAACTTCTCTTGTCTAACAGCCATCCTTGGAGATAAATTTCCTGTGACGATAGGTAGCTCAACTCCAACTTCCTCATGTACCCCGTCTAACCCAAACTCCTCCCCATTCAACTTTGCACCCGAACTCTCCAACCCACTGCTATTTAAAGAAACAATATGCCCGCGACTAGAGGCTGCTGTCTAGCGCCCAAGGATTGCTTCTCAAGGACCTGACGCACCTCACCTTCATGTTCTCTTTTAGAAACCAGCTTTGCAACAATTTCTCCTTGATCCCCCTCCAATGTTCCCTCCACCCCGTCACATGCATCCTGATTCCCATGACCAATAGAAGCAATATCTTCAGTACCACCACCCACCGCAGCACCAGATTTGTCGCCAGCATCACTCCCTGAAACAAGCTCCTGCCGCTTAGTTCTATCACCTCCATCCACTAGCACAACAGACCCAGCAGGCTGCTTCCTCTCCACTTCAATTTCTTTGCCTTTTCTGGAATCATCAGGACCAACCGGTGACGCATTCGACGAAGGAGCAGCCTGTAAAAAATTGGTCTTCCTTGGCCCCATTAACAACTAGATTGCTCACAGGGACATACACCTGATTGTTACTCCCCTCAATCTGTGGGTCACGCTGCATCCTCAGGTGTTGATTGTTCTGGTTCCGAGACGCAATCTCAGAAGAATTTTTCTTACACTCCTCGGCTGAATGACCCAAACGCCAGCAAGAGGAGCAATATGACAGCATATCCTCTGTCACAATTCTTTGCCAGAATCCTGTCTCCCCTTTGATAGCCACCCATACTCTTGAAATGACTGGCCTCGCTACATCAACCTCCACGCACACCCTGGCCACACTAGGACGTGTGCCAGTAGCCATTGCCGAATCCAAGAATAAGGGCCTTCTGACTAGAGACAGAATAGAGAACAACGAATGCTTATCAAAATAGTGAATTGGCAGAGTCGATAGAGACACCCAAACCAGAACCAAAGAAGATTCCTTATGCACATGAAACTCCCTAGTCCAATGAAATACTCACATTGGAAATTTTTCCAGTTGCCAAATACCTCTCGTCCAAATTGTATTGAAGTCTGCCTCAGCTGCACACTTAATCAGCACATGTTTATAATCCATCAAGCCAATAGAGACCTGGCATATTAAATCAAGGCAAATTTTTATATTATTATTTAGCAATGTTTTAGTCAAGTTGCAGTTTTAGCAATTTTATTTGAGTCAAGTTATAGTAGTTTTATTGTTTACGAATTAGGTATTTTATTAGGAAATTTTTTATGGTTATAAGACTTGTTTACCAAGTCACTTAGTTTATAAATAGGAAATCTTATTATTTTATCAATCGAGAGGCTTGTTATTATGTGTGATTAATGATATATTGCTGAAATTTATTCCTCTTTCACCACTTTCATCCACATATAGTTGTGTGTGTGTAAATTGCTGCCCTATGTATATTAGTGTTGTTTAATATATCTCCTATAGTTTTTTGGTGAAATTTTTTGAGTTCTACATCTAGTATCAGAACCCTATATTCAAGAAATTGATCTTGACGTGCCTGTGAACATTAAAGAATTATTCCGACCATAAAGTTGGTCCTGAGTATTTTCAACGGTCAGGGTTAGGGCATAAGAATTGCTATGAAAAACTTATTTGATCAAGTTAAACAATAAGGTCGATCATGGAGTATCCAATTGGTGAAGATTAGATCATAAGATTGGTTCAGAAATTGTCTAATTGATTGTGATTATTAAGACAGAGATCAGAGAAGAATTCTGTCAGTTGAATTGTGATTATTAAAATCACAAAATGAGTTGTTAATAAATTGATATCAAATTTTGCGACGAGAGCCGTTTATCTAGAAACATGGATTATTTTAGCAAGTAAAAAACAAATTGAGCAACAAGAGAACTTTGTCCAGATGTGTGGAATATTGTAGCAGCAAAAACTTTTAAAAATGAAGAATTCAAATTAATGTTAGCAGAATTTGCAAGGGTGATCATTGATGGTGTGGCGGTGAACAGATTATTTTAGCAAGTGAAAAACAAATTGAGCGACAAGATGATGAAGAATTCAAATTAATGTTAGAAAAATTTACAAGGGAGATTATTGATAGTGATAGTGGTGAATGGATTATTTTAGCAAGTGAAAAACAAATTGAGCGACAAGTTTACTTTGTCCAGATGTGTCAAATATTGCAGCAGCAAAAACTTTTAAAAATAAAAAATTCAAATTGATGTTAGCAAATTTGCAAGGGAGATTATTGATAGTGATGGTGGTGAACTTGATTCATTGGAAAGCTTGCTTTAAGGGACTCATTGTTGGCATATTAAATCAAGGCTCAAAAATAGAAATTTCTATATTATTATTTAGCAGTATTTTATTCAGGATATGGTTTTAGTAATCAAATATATCTCTTATAGTTTTTTGTTAGAATTTTTTGGGTTCTACACTATGGACAAGTAGTATCCAAGCAAAAAATTTGCAAGCATATTCCCAGGCATCAAGAAAGTTGTTCCTTAATCTTAAGCGATAGAAATACAAGATCAACATCAAAAACCTGAAAATCAACTGTTTGAAGTACCTAAGTATAATCCCCAACATAACAAACTCTTCTTCCTTTGAAGCTGTACATCTTTCTTCTTATTTACTTTTTGGCTTGAATGGATTAAAAGTCAATTAAAATAGAGGAAACTCATGCCAAAACATCATCAGTGTAATTCAACAAGGATTCAAGAGAACCAAAAACTACAAAGTTCAACCAAAGGCAGACGTCTTTGACTTGTACGTCTGTTAGTTACTTGAAAGCCTGACAAGATGTTGGTTGTTTTGGAGCAGATCAGGTTTCTCTATTTTTTATTTCCTTTTAAGAACTCAGAAAAGAAAAAGGAAAGTACGATTCGCTGCCCAAGTGAAAATAACTGTTTCCCAAGTTAAACATCAAAAAGAAAACAAATAACAGTTAACTTCAAAATCAATTTTTAATATCACTTAGTAAACTTACTTTTTTAGCAGTCCTGATATTGTTAGCCACCATTGTAAACTTATTTTTCATGATGGTATAAATAGGGGAAAAAATAGAGAAGAGGAGAACATCAATGTTTGTCAAGCCGACCTACTGCCCTCTTAACAAATTTCAGCAATATGTCATCCCAAAGTAAGTCACTCATAAAATAAAAAACTCAACAGAAGTTATTCACCCAATTCACCATAAAAAAATACACAACAAAATGGCCAAGTTTCAAATGGAACATCCAATCACCACATCTAGGAGAAAAGAGAACATAATTCTGATTATAATGCAATTCACAAAAGCATCACAAAAGGGGCGAAAAAGGAAAAGAAACATACTCATACTCCCATAGTACCTGACTTAGGGATCCATTTCACTCTTTTGACACCATATTCTCCTTTATAACCTGTCAATATAGTAAATAAAAACAAGGCAGATGGCATCATAAATGTATGCACAAATTCAAGATCTCTAGAAGTACCTTGGATCACAAAGCTTTAGCTAGTTTTACAGAAACAAATAACGTTTGTTTCTCATAAAGTCTGAGAGTGAGGGCTTTGACCTTGTCTTGTTTGAATTCCATTTTCAAACCTTTCCCTTTCTGTTTATTGAGTTTCTACATGCAAAAGTTCAGGATTGCAGGCTAACTATGTTGATCATGTCAATAATTCAAGAAGACAGATGCATAGTGTTCATTCACCACATGGTTACTTGAGTTAGCCAAACCTATTTCATTCACTGTTTTTGGGAGGCCAATGTTTAGAAAGTAAAACAGAAGTGAGTTCTGTGCAGTATTGTCTTACCAGAATGGACAAATGACAAAGTAAAATTGCACAGAAGATGACTGAATTTACTATAGGCTCTTATACTGTTTAACCCAGATCCAACCAAAGAAAAATCCAAGAACCACAAGACACCAAGAAGGCCCTCATCCAAAACCCAAGAAAATGAACACCAGAGAAAATCATGAGAGCTTTTTGGTGTTGTGAAACATCTAAAGCAAATTGATATAATCTAGAGTTAAAAAACCTAATACTCCCATCAATGGTTAATAGAGATAAAGGATACTGAAGAATACTGAAATGGATAAAAAAGAAAAGAAATTGCTGTACCTTCTTAATGAGCATAAAACTGTACTTACATGATACATGGAAACTATTGAAAAGACAACAATGAGAAGCTCATACTGAGATGAATTCAAAATCACATTGGAAAGGACTTTAGGAATTCTGTCAAAAGATTAGTAGTGAAAATTTAAACATGAAGACTCAAAGGAAACTGTTCCAAATAAAATCATCTTATGATGTGAAATATTTGGACATTCAGTTGGACAGCGTGTTATAACAATTTGCAGAAAAAGCAACTTATAATAAGCAAGAGCAGTGAAAGTTCAGAACAAAAATTTAGAAGGATTAGAAGTTACCTGACTTGATCCTCATGTTAGAGACAGCCTTGCTGAAGCAGACCCTTGCTTTTTAGTGAATACATTTTAACCGTTAAATATCATTGATGCAGCATAACAATGAACATGTTCATCAACTGGGTTGAACTGACTAAGTAATTATCTGCTGAAAGAAAAACTACAATTACCATGAGAAATAGAAAGCCTCCAGAAGTTAATGCTTTTACTAATGCTGACTAAAAGGGAAGTTGCAGAACAGGAAGGGACTAGTGCCGAATGGCATCAATAGATGCATGGAATAGCCTGCAAGAGGAGAACAGCTAGTCTGGTTTGAGCATATCAATCTGCTGACTTGGCAATATTAACTAGTAACACTTGCAGCCCAGATAATGGAATACAGACCAATAGTACTTCTCATATGTCATAGGCAATTAAAAAACGTACATGATGACTGAACTGGCAGATACACCCTAAACTGTAAGGCAAATAGTTAAAATAATCAGTTATAGCAACGCTGCATAGAGCTAGAATTATTTAACTCGTTTATATGTTTCTGATACAAAGCCGGTTTCCATGTCATGGTTTACCTCTTCTCTATTATCTTCAGTTGGGTAAGTTTGGAGATTCCCCAATGCCCAATGTAATCACAGAGCAGCCTCCAAATTCCAAATCCTTGTGCACTGATTTCCTTTTACTTTTCATCAACTTATCCAGATAAATAAAACTTCCAAAATGTACCTGTAGAAAGTCAGCAGATTTAGGACCCATAGAATGATTCCTCATCTTTACTCCACAAGAATATTGCAGTCATCCTTTAATACTGACTAGTCTTTGCTCTATACTTCGATTGTCTCCATTGTCTCCAGAAATCAATCTAACAAGCTAAAGAACATCACCTTTCTTCAGCTGAAAAATGCAAACCAAAAACAGGTAGATGTGGGTCATTGAGGATTGGAACAGTAGCTTTTCCATTGTCTCAAGAAGTCAATCCAACAATCTTTATAATTTTACCATTTCTTATTCAAAAATCCAAACCAAAATGAGCCTAATGGAAGCTACATTTAACAACATCGGTCATTGAGGATCAGAACAGAGTACTTGAAAAGCATCTGTATTGTCAGGAAGACAAAACAAACAACTTATATGCTTCAAGATAGTTCCATGATTATAAGTTTCTGCATGTTGTAGGGCTTAACTTGATCAAGACCTCTTTTGTTGATGCTTCTTCACAGTCTGTTAAGTGACAATGAAACTACTGAGACTAGTTACATAAGGACATATTGGCATCTGGGCCCCCACTAGTCAGAGAGCCGCAACTTTGCAAATAAAGTTGTCTGCAACAGGAAAAATGTCTGACCATGTAAGCTGCGGATTACCAGTAATCATTACAAGAGCAAAACCCCTTCATAAAATTGTGGAAACGGTTTGAATCTCTCACAACGATCTCCCTCTGAATTAATTGTGATGCTAATTTCATAAAATTATGACAGTCTGGACAAATACGAATATTCTTCATGATCCTAACAGCATCCAACTTGCAATTCAAATCAGAAGTGCTCATCAAAGTAAACACCAGAGCCAACTTCTCACTGTGGTAGTATAATTCTTCCTCTTTGTGCTCTTCTTCAATATCGTGCAAGGCCAAACTAGTTTGAGGAACATAGCCAAGTGTCTTCAATTTTCCAACTAGTTCTTTCGTATTAGTGCGGATTGTCTCTCTTTGTGGGTGTGCTCCACCCCCTGAAACAAATTCATGAACTTGATTACCAATATCAGTCCAGCTCAAGCCAGGCTCCTTCTGTACCCCAAGTGCTTTCATTCGCTTCCTTATTAGACTAGCTACATCAAAACTACCAGTGGAACAGTGTATGTTTGACATTACTACATATCCTAGAGAATTTTCTGGATCCAACTCCCTTAGTTTTGATACAGCAAAGTTGGCTAACTGTGTTTCACCGTGTTTCCGGCAGGCTCCTACCAAAGCACTCCAGACAACATAATCCGGTTGCATGGGCATTTCCCTTATGAGCTTCACAGCCTGAACGAGATGCCCAGCTCGCCCAAGAATGTCAACCATGCAGGCATAGTGATCAAGTTGGGGAACAACCCCATAGCTGTTGGACATGGTATCAAATATTTCAACCCCTTCATGCACCATTCCCGAATGACTACAAGCGGAGAGAAGAGCAACAAAGGTGGTTGCATCAGGTTCAACATCCATTTGTTTGAACAAGTCCAATGCCTGCTTCCCTTGCCCATGTAAAGCATAAGCTTTTATTATTGAGTTCCAAGAAACTACATCCCTTATTCTCATTTCATCAAAGATGACCGCAGCTTGGCTAAGTGAGCCACACCTTGCAAATGCATGAATTGAAGCATTCTGAAGAACTATGTTATTTGTGAAACCAACTTTAGTTATTAAACAGTACACGGCCAGGGCATGCTTGTCATTAGAAAATCCTCCACAAGCCTTTAATACAATCGAAAAAGCATAACAATCAGGATTCAACCCCTCTGTGCGCAACAAATTAAAAAGTAAAAGGGCTTCCCCAGGTTTTCTATCAGCAAAAGAAGTGATAATACCAGTCCATAAGACAACATCTCGGCACCCATTAGTCTCTATAAACAACTTATGACAATCAGCAACCTCTCCTCCAAGAATCGAATAAGCACTCAGTAGTACAGTCACCACTGCAACATCCAACTTAAACCCGGCCTTTATAACAATACCATGTATTTGAAAACAATACTTGAGGCTTGAAACATATTCGTATTCATTATTTTCAGAAAATGCAGAAAGGACACTTACAAGCGTAGCACGATCAAACCCAACACCGTCTCTACACATTGCGATGAAAAAATTAACAGCATTTGAACACTGTCCCAGCATTTGGAATCCAGCAATCATTGCGTTCCAAGTTACAAGATTGCGGAACTCCATCCCGTCAAATACCCTCCAAGCCTCCTCACTATTGTTGTAAATTCTGCAAAATCCCGTCTCTCTGCTCTTCCAGTACATGGTAATCAAAGCATTCGCCACATAGACATATGCACCAAATCCTGTTTTTACAACAACTCCATGCACTTGCCTACCCCGAAAACCATCACATATAGACAGCACGCTGGTGTAAGCAAAATCATTGGGCCTACAGTGAGCTAACATATCAGTAAACATACTAAAACATTCATCAACTTTCCCATGTTGAGAATAACCAGAAATTAAAGAAGTCCAAGAGAAAATATTCTTGTGAGGCATTTTTTCGAACATCTGGTAGGCAGTACACAAATCACCACACTTGGCATACATATTAATCAGGTGGTTGGTAGTGTACAAGTCAATATCCTCGGTGGTTTCATGGGTGAGCAAATGGTGGTGGAGATCTTGGCCTAAGTCGAGTCTATTGTGGCGAGCGCATGCTTGGAAAAGCCTAGCATATGGCAGTGAGAAATTAGGTGGGAAGCTGAGATCGTAAAAGAGAGAAATTGCCTTTTCCAGTTGGCTAACATTTTCAAATTTGGCGTCAAATGTTGGGGTGGCGGGAGAGTTAGTTGTGGTTAAGGTTCTTAGAAAGGTGCCATACGAGCAACTGTGCAATGGTTTCAGCAATTGACTGAAGGAATAGCGAATTTTTAAAAACATGGCTAGAACAAATTATAGGATCAATGCATCTGAAAAGCATAATTGGTGTCATCCAGTAAGAGAGCTGAGGAACAATTTGGAAGTCCCGCACACACAAGACTGCTAGAATCGTTGCAATTATTTGAAGTGGCTTTGTCACGCTATGTATAGGATGGCAACGGGACCGGATTGGGGCGAGGGACCCCTCTCCCATCCCCCGCGCCGCTGCCTACAAACTTCCCCTGCCCCCGCCCCATCTCCTGTCCCCCGCTCCTCCCGCCTCGCCTCGCCCCGCTTTCTCGGGGGTACTCTCATGGGGCTAATAAAAATTTGTTATATAATTTTATTATGGTTAAATTTTAACAAATAATCAAGTACTAAAATATCAACACTCATCAAATTATTATTCATTGTAATTTTACAATTGAAACTTATAAAAGCAATCAAATAAAAATTATTTGAATACAATCCAACATGATGAAATAAATATAACTAAAGTAGTCAAGTTTTCACTTTTGGCACAAATACAATCACTAATTCATAATTGTGCTTGTGCTTTTTTTTAAGAAAAAAATGTTATTGTATTAAGTGTAATTAGGGATTTAGTATAACCAATTAATAATTTGTATTAGTACACATATATAATTATTAGTATAATTAATAATATCAATTATATTATATATACTAATAGACATTATATAATACATATAACTAATAATATCATTATCATAAGTTTGTAACTAATTAAATTATATATTATATATATAATTATATACATATATTTTTTATATATTTATTTTTTTAAAGCGGGTGGCGGGCAGAGGATGGGACGGGGGTACACTCCCCCACCCCCCCACCTCGTTTCTAAGCGGGGGGAAAAAATTCCCCCCATCCCTAGCCATGTATCTATAAAGTACATATTAAATTCATGGGCTAAAAAGCTGTAAGTTTTAGGGCTAAAACTGTAACTAAAACAACAACTGCACTCAGCCCACTTGAGTGGGTTGAGTGTGGACTCGTCAGAACCCAAGTCATCAGTCTACTTGACAAGCCTACTTCCAATACTCTATTTTGGACTCTGTGATTTCATAGAACTAAATAATTTTAAACTGTTGATATTCTTTTAGGGGATATTATCAAAAACTTCCTTGCGACTTCTCCTAATAGAACTAAGCATTCATGAACTTTTAAAAATAGGACTCACCTCCCACAATGATTACAAAAAAGATTATATTAACCCTCACTTAATACATAATTCACATATCAAATAAATGGAACTCAAAAATAAAAAAAAATAAGCCACTTTCTTCTTTTTTCCTTTTCTCCAACAATCTCTTTTACTCCTTTTTTTGGATGACTATGCAATTTTTAATTTGTAAATTATAATAAATTGAAATTTATTTATCTTTTACTTTTTGCGATTATGATAAAATGGGGTATGATTTTTTTTTTTTGGTTTGTTTTGAGTTAACTTTTATAATAATTAGTACAATTTAAAAGCTTAGACCACGAGCTGAGAAGAAGTTAGGCAAAAAATATAAGATTCATAAGAAATCAATTTTGTACATAGAGAGTTAAGTTTTAGAGCCCACAGCCCTTTTATAGAGTTAAATTGTGAGCAGCACACATTTTTTTGCTGACATGGGGGACCCTAATTGGCTCTAAGGCCACTGTTGGCCCTTGAACAATTCACTGTTATGTGTTGTCACCTAGTGTTACTTTCACTATAGAAACTATAGGGATTGTGACAGTACCACTTTTGATTAACTATTCCTAAGGAATAGTACCACAATTTGGCACTGTTGAAGCAAGTGAAAGGACATTTTTGCCCCTATGTGAAATGATCATTTTGCCCTTGGTTCCATCAGCATGTTTATTGTGAGGACTCATGTTTTATTTTTAAAATAATTATTTTATAATTATTTACCCTAGTATTAATTAATTATATTATCGTTACATAAATTCCTTTTAAAATTCGCTTTATCGCGCGCAAATCGAAAGTTCGCATATTTCACATCAAAACGGCTAAGTGGAGATTTGAGAAATTTATACTAGATTAATAAGAGTGAATAATTATAGTATTAAAGGAATTACATTTGAAGATTTGTGTACAAGTGAAACAAACAAGAGAGAAAAATGGTTATACGAGACACTATTCGTAGTTGACTTTTGCATAGTTTTTGGCCAAATTCTTCAAGCTTCCAAGGGAAGCTTCACACAACACAAATCCTTCTCTCTCTCCCCTCTCTTGGTCAGCCGAACAACAAAGGAAAAGAAGAGAAGAAAGCTTCACTTCATCTTGCTTTATCTTGCTCCATTTCACTTCCAAATTTGCACCCAACTTCAAAATCTCTTGGAAATCAACTTTAGCTTGGAGAAAGACATCATCTAGTGGAGTTTCTTGGAGGTTTTGTGGTCAGAAATTTCTGGTTTCATCAAGGGTTAAGAGGTAACCCTTCACCTTCCTCAAATCTTTCTAAATTCTTCAAGTATGAAGCTTAGATGGCATGGGTTTGAAACCCTAAGCATGAAATAGGCTAGCGGACTTGAGGTGTTTCGTTTCTTGCTTTAATTTTTAGGCTAACGGTCTTGAGGTGGATTATAGGTAGCTGACTTGAGGTGTAATTAATTGATTGTGGTTATTTATGTGTTATTTGAGATGAATACGTGTCGCGCCCCATTTTTTGATAAATAAATAAATGGTTTAAAAATGTATTTTGATTTAATTTATGATTGGAAAATGAATTGTGATTTAAAAGAAAAATGGGTCTAAATGGGGGTTTGAAAATGCGACGATTTGACCCAAAATTATAGTTTAAAAAGGGTTAAAAAAAAAATGGGAGTCGCCACTTGGTAATGAGTTAAGGTGTACCAAGTCACCTAAAAATGAATTTTTTAGGAAAAAGTTGTAAGAAACCCCTTTTAAACGACTCTTAATCCACGTAAACCAAAAAAAAAGGTTCGGGAGTCCATTTGACGAAGGGGAAGGCAAGGATAAAAATCCAAGGCACCCCTTCGACCTAGCCAAGGCTAGTTGCATGATTTAATCAAAGTTTTTCTTATTTTAACCAAAGAATTTATTACATTTGGATGCACTACATGAATGCAAAAGGAAAGAAAAAAAATGCAAACCTAAATTCTAAAATGTCTCTTGTAAGGTTTTTGGTCCCAACCACATGAATTGTGGCGGCCAATAAAGGAAAACCTTATAGAGGTCGATTAATGCAAATGATGGCTAAAGTGCAAGTGTGCAAGTGTATGAAAAGGTGCACGTGTGAAATTGTATGAAAAGTCCAAGTGTTTGTGTGCAAGTGTATGGAAAGGTGCATGTGTGAATTTGTATGAAAAATCCAAGTGTTTGTGTGCAAGTGTATAAAATATAGTGATAAGTGCATATAGGTGTAATTAAGTGCAATTTTGTGAAGTAGAAATCAAAATGAATAATAAGGAAAGGAAAAGTGATGAGGAAATGTGAATTGAAAAAAAATGAGTAAGTGATAAATGAGAATGAATGAACCTAAAGGAATGCATCAGGTCGGGTGTGGGAATGACTCCTAACTTTTTCGACTTCGATTTTCCCTTTGATTAGAAGGCAAAACTAGCGTGCTAAGGCTATCGAGTAGCCACACTCGCTCGTTTCCCTTATCGGAAGGGGACACTCAAGCAAAATGAACCCTATAGCTAGTATGGGATGCAAAACCTAAAATGAGAGGAAAAGGGGTTTGAGGATCATGCCAAATGATAAAACTAAGGAAAATGCGTGATATGTGGTGAACAAGCAAATGATGTACTATCGAGGGAAAATCCCTAAGGGTCTAGCATTGGACTAGCCCATTCTATGAATTCCGACTAGCGTTGGACTAGTGGAAACGATAAAAGAAGCCACAACTAGCGTTGGACTAGTGTGGTGACGTACATTCATCCATTCCATTCATCCACACTATGGAAAGCAAGTAGACATACTAAATACTCATAAACACGTAGCACGTAACATTTAGCATGCTCGACTAGATGCAAGAACCTAACAAAGCAAGTAACACGTAACACATAGGCATGCAACCAAGCTAATAAACCTATTACATTCACTAACTAAAACAAAAGGGGGAAGAGGGAGAATGGACCAAATTGCTCGCCAAAGCCCTATCTATTACAAGCCAAGAGGTGTACACATACCTCATTAAAAGAATAACTTAAGTAAATGAAATAAATGAAAGGAAATAAGGAGAGGCTAGGAAAGCAAGTAGACATGCATATTTCAATTAGCACATTAGTCCACATAGGAGAGAAACAAAAAGGGTAAAAGAGATTATACCGCCCTTGAAATGAAGCTCTAATGGAGTGAAATCAACTTATTTATCCTCCAAAATAAAAGAAATGGTCAAGGTACCAATTTATTTGGCAAATAATCACAAAGGATAAAAAATAAACATGAATTTGAATCAATTAAATCATGTCAACAACCCACATTTAAGAAGTCAAAGAAGAAAGGACTTGATTGCAAAAATTAATAAAGTCTTGGGGTCAAAATTAAAGAAAAATAAAGTTCAAGGACCTAATTTGCAATTAAAGTAAGGACCGAATTGAAAGAAATTGAAGACATCCAAGGCCACAGTATAGTTAAGGAGAAATTCAGGGACTGATTTGCAAAAATCGTTTTCTAGTTTCTTCATGGACCAGGCTATTGGGTCATTTTATTCACTTCTTGGGCCAAAATCCTTCCTGGCCCAACCGATAACCCTAAGAGGTAAGCAGGCCAGCCTATCTTTAAGCCCAGACAAAGTGCAATTAGAACAGATGGGCTTCACCTCTCAAACCCAAACCAGAAACCCAAACAAAACAAATTAAATCCATACTTACAAACCCAATCAGATATGTTGGGCTCCATCTTCCTGAGCCCAAGTCAAAACATCAACATAATAAACTAAATCACTTCCTTAAGCCCAAACAAAATAACCTCTCAACCCAAATTACCTTTTCACAGGTACCCAACATGATAAAATCAACAAAAAAATACTAAGCTTTGATTATGCATTAAATCACAGCATTAATCTATCCAGAAATCACATAAAATATGCAAACAGAGGATTAAGCTTAAGAGGGCAAAATTAGTTCAAATTTCCAGATTTTTGGGCCATGGAAACATTAATTAGATGCCAAGGGGTTGGACTGTAATTCTCCCTTTGTTTCCAATGCATGTAACTACGTAGAAGAACCATTCCTTTCTTTACTTTGAACTGCAAATGAAAGCTGAAATCTGCAAATTGTTGCCGCAAGCTTTGGCAGC